TCTTGCTCGACCTCCTATGCCATTGTGCATGTCGGCACCCTCGTATACGTGCTCGTGCACGTCTCCTAGGCCATGCAAGCCTTGTTTCGGCCCTTTGCTTGGCCTTCTCGGATAGTATCGGCCTTCGGACCTTCTCAGCTTCGGGGCTCAAAACCCACTTCCGCATCACGCGCGCAGCGCATAGCGCGCGCATCAATGAGCTACTAAGCGCATGCTTATATGATGCTTAGCATTATGATCAAGGTTAAGTAATCCAAATCCTTTTTCCTTAGATTAGCCGTGAGGAATTTCCATGAGATGAGGTTGGAGTGCAAGTTGCAAGGGTGACTCACCTAGTAGCTTGCACACACGGCGCGCCACGAACGCACGGGCGATGACTAAGCCCGTGCATGGCCGCCACCTCGGCAATGACTAAGCAAATTTCCCAACACTTCAGCCGTGCTTTGGACACTTGTAATCAAAGGAAATAATGTCATCACTCACCTCATTGACCGTAAGTTTGCCCTCGGTTTTACCTCTCTATAAGTAACCGTGTGTGTGTAACCTTTCATGCACTTTTCATGCACAAAATCCGACCAACTTCAGCATATAATTGAGAGAGAAAACAGCAAGGAAAAATAAGAGAAAAATAGCTCAAAAATAGCTAAGTGTTGCCGAAGCAACGGAGAAGCATAAGGACATTAAAGGAGTACCGAACACGCACGCCATCGTGCAATCCTCGACCAAACTGAAGGGTATACCCCTATTTATCTTCTTTTTAAATAGTTAAGCTCATAGTAGTAAGATCATGTTGATTTCATGTTGTTCGGTCCAAGTTCTTTTGGCAAAATGGCCTCGGAGGTGCTATATAAGCCCTCCCGAGTGATTTCAAAATAGAACCGGCAAGTCCCGAGTAATCTATGTATTTTTAGTCATTTTAAGTCAAAACATGATCAGTCGTATGTGGATTGCCGGAAGAAGTAGCCGGACGGCCAGCGAAATGCCGACCGTGATACCTACCGCGCGCAGGTACGCCTGGCAGGCCCAGCGAGTACGCAGGCAGCGTCCGCGCGCCCAGTAACGCGCACGCGTGTCCGGTACTCGACAGTTAAGTCCCTGCGATGCCACAGTCACGTGTGTAGACGTGCGCAGTGCACGCCAACACGCACGACAACGCACCGCAGCGTCCGTCCACCGAGTCCGCGTACCCAGTAATGCGTCACACGCTCAGTAGTGTGTCATGCGAAGCACGTACGCACGCCAGCAGCGTACCACGCACGCTGGCCAGTCACCACGCACGCCAGTACGCCCAACAGCGTGCCAGCGATGCACAGCAGGCCTCGGCGTTGCCCGGCAGCACTCCCGAGCGCCCAACCAGTCCAGCACGTGTAGCCCGCGTGCCAGTCGTCTACCCACGGTGCCTGCAGCAC